CAATATCTTAGTCATTTTTCTATTTTTTTTTTAATATTGCCTGGCACATATTTAAGTCATCACTGTTCCACCTTTGAACAATCTGCCTCCATTTCAGGAGCCCAATTTCCTCTCTAGTTAGCCTTGCATCCTCTAGCCCCCACCTCTGCCTGATCTCATTATCCAGGACCTTCCTCTCAGCTAGAGGTCATGGTTAGAAAGGAATCAGATAAACTCTGTCTGAATCTACTAGCTTATGACAGCTTAAAGCTTTTCATCTTTCCAGCAAATGTGCAAAGGGACTCATTTAACACCAAATCAAACCTTTAAGAACTAAAGCATACATTTCTGATACAATACTAGGAACCTGGGGAAGAAGAAATAGAGAAAGGGAGATTTTTTTCTTTCAGCTGGGGATCTATTGATCACCCTTAAAGCTTCACTGATAAGGCAGCTACTGATTCTTAATTTTGCTAGCACTGAACTTCCCTAAACATTCCATCAGACTTCTTCTTAAATAGCTTTTGGGTGAGATGGGATGGACACCCAACTAAAGATGTTTCAATATCTCCCCTGCAATATTGCTTATCTCTTAGATATGAAGAGTGAAAACTCCTAGTAAGAGACACCCTACTTGGGAGGCAGGAACGTGAGAATCAACTTGTCCAGTATCCTTGGCACTTTCTAAGCCACTGCATTCCCACGTTAATATAAGAGAAGATATATTGGTTCATCAGACAAGGCATGATGCATTTTTGCATAAAAAAATACCCATGACTTTTCCGACGACCCAATACAGCAATAAAGATTTAGATTTTATATTCTTGCAATTCGAGTTACAATGTTGAGGTTGATCAGCATGTAGCATTAGAGTGAAGTCAAAGACTGGAGTTCTGAGTAACTTTCTTGCTGATCAATGAAAATCTCTGGAAAAATCTTTGAACATCTCTGAATCTCAGTTCAAAACTATCAAAGGGGATAATGAATACAGGGCATATTTAACACACAAGAATGTAATGAAGAACAAATGAGATACTAAGTGTAAAAAATGTTTTGAAAAGCTTTAAATGCTATACAAAGTGATGTATTTTAATCTTTTCTTTTGCAAAACATATGAGATAAACAACACTGAAAAGCACTTGAAATATTTTTCAATTCCCTTTGTGTCAGAGGCTGAGGGTTTTTATCAGTATTAATTTTCACATTGTTTCTTGAATAACAGAACCCTCACATTTATCAAGGCACATGGCAACAAATAAGAAAGACATTTCAGAGCCTTCTTTGCAGTTAGCTGTGACTGAGGTCTGGGACCTAGCCCATGAGATGTGACTAGAAACACTGTGCATATTCCCTCTGCTTCCTCTCGACTGTCTTAAATGTAAATGAGATGGCCGGAGCTGTGGACGTGAGCCTGGGCCATGAGATGGATGCTGTACTTTAAGATGAAAGAGCAAAAGGAGAGGACCTGGGCTTCTGCTTATCTCACACACGAATGCCTTAAAACCAGTTTGTCTTTGAGAGAGAGATACAGCATTGATCTCATTTAAGTCCCTTATTTTGAATTTCTCTGTTAGAAGAACTAAATAAGAATTCTATCTTGGGACCAGCAATTGGCATAATGGCTATGTTGCTGGACTTCCACGTAGTCAGCTGCGGTTCAAGTCCCAGACCTGGTGGCTTAAACTCACACTGGGCACATGTGCATGCATGCCCAAGATCCTGAAAGGAGGATGGAGGCGAAGAAGGGATTGTGGCCTGGGGTGGGGGAGGGCAGTGATTTCTCACCTTCTCTCTCTTTCTGGCGAGCACATACACCCTATAGCAGAAACTTCTTAAAAAAAAAAAAAAAGAAGAAGAAGAAGAAGAAAAAGAAAAAAGAAAAAAGAATTCTATCTTAATTTTTAAACTTATGTGTATATATATTTCTATTATATATTTGTAATCTTTTATCATCTCATTGCTAGGTCTATCTGGTAACATTTCTTCCCAATGTTAGTTCTATCTCCACTTGAACTTTTGAGAAAGGTACTTTACAGGCATAAGGAAATGGGTCCTCGTAGTTCACACATCTTTATAATTTTTCAACAACATACATTATATCCTTAACTATTGTCTAACACTGATCATTACCAGTTATTAGTAAGAGTATCCAAAAAATTCTCAGAGCAGTTTTGTCTAGTCACCAAGAATAGCCTACTGAAAAGCTAGGAGGAGACAAAATTGTGTGTATCTTAGTCCTTAATAAAATTCAAATAGACACATATATATGTGAACTTACACACAAAGACACCTTATCCCAACCTGGTTTTTACATTTGCCATTACCAGGAGAAGGGAAGGAATGTCTGTGTAGGAATTATAGGAATCCATAGGATAAGGAGTCCCTTGGAGATTTTTTTTTCTTTTGCCTCTTCTTTAACACTAAGGTGTCCAGCGTTGACCTGGTTTGGGATCTCAAGGCAGCATCCCATGAACACTTAGGCTCAGATGTCTTCCCCCTGGCATCCCTTCCCTGAGTTTCACTCAGCATGTAGGTGTGCAGTCAAATTTCAAAACCAAACTGTGTCCCTCCCTCTCCACCTTTTCAACATAGGACCCCAGAGAGATGACAAATGTGCTGCTTTAGAATGAAATGATATGAAGGAGGAAGCCCATGTCAGTCTTTCTAATTTGCTCAGCATTGGCCTCAAGCCAACAGAAAGAGAGGGTTTCTCTTCTGAACATCCTGATATCTAGTCTTAAGTGAAGCACCAAACATCAAGCCTTCAGCACCAAGGCAGTGGAAAGCCTTTTGATATAAATCCCGAGGTGCCTAAGGAACAGCGTGAAGTTAGCAGGGGCTGCCTCCAAGTCTCAGTTATGCGTGAATTCCCTGCCAAAAATTTAAAGTGAGTTTAAAGGAACAATCCAAATGCTTTCTAACTTGTTTTGATTTTCCATATGACAAATCACTGGGTTGTTATTGTGTGTGTGCATGCGTGTGTGCGTGTGTGTGTGTGTGTGTGTGTCGCAGTGTCAGGCAGAAGGGTAATTTGCATCCCTGCTATTCTAAGAATAGTATTACATTCTAACAAAGAAATGTGAATGCAGAGAGAGAGTGAGAGAGAGAGAGAGAGAGCTGCTCATTAATCCCAGCTACAATCCTCTTTTCACCCCTTCTATCTTAGAAACGAATCATTGGAAAGGGAGACATGAGTATTTTGTGAGACCAACCTCTACTAACAAGCAATATTTACTTGGCCTCTTTTAACTCATCCTTGTACATGACTCCAAAAGCACAATCACCTAAAATGTCATCAGTCTCACAGCTCATTAATGAGTCAGTGTTGTGGAGGGGACTGGACATATCCAAGGCAGTGTAATTCTAGGCCACCGTTAGCTTGGTGCCGTCCCAGTGCTGCCACTGACGTGGGTTGGAGATGAACACATCTGGGCAATAACGGCTAGTTTTTTGCATGATTGACAGGAAGCTTCGGGCAGCATGAGCCCTTATCCTTCATGGAAAATGTGATGAAATAATAAGAGCTTTCACTTTGCTAAACCTAGCTTACAATCTGTGCAGAAGCTATTCATTGTCTATGGGCTTCACTTTTCTCACTTTTCTATGAAATTGGGATGAACAATATCTACCTTGTTGTGCAGAATACGTTTAAGGAACTTCCCTCAGCTCCTGGCCCAAGGAGCCACTCGATAATGCAGTCCCTTGCCCCCAAGATGAAGCCAACGATAGTGAGAGGAATATCTGAACTGCTTCTCCAGAGCTCTAGTTGATGAAGACACCAGACTCCCCTCTGTGGAGGTGGGCGCTCCATGCGTTTGGGCTGACGGACTCTCAACCCAAGACAGAGTATTCTGGAGGTTGAGAAGTAGCTTATGTAAAGCTGGCTTAAACATCAAACATGTTGGATATCAGTGAAATAGGCTTTTCAATCTGATTTAGGGGTTTCACTCATTTTGCCTTGAGCTTCTTGAAGAGACTGATCAGATCAATCTGTGGTGAAACTTTCTGCCCACTCTGAACCACCTACTGCATGCCAGGCAAAGGCTTCCTCTTCCTTCTTCCAGATTTCTACTCTTTTTATTCAACAGACTTCTTGTTTAGTTCTGATTGGGAAAAGGTGAAAATAAGGAGCACTTGGCAATGTGGCTTATTATTTGGTCCAGTTTTAAATACTCTAGTCTGATTTGCTGACTGTAGCCATAGTCTAACAATACGTAAAGATCACGTAGGGAAAAACAAAACAAGAAACAGTTGTCAGGCTGGAAATACTCAAGCAAATGTTTGGAGGGGGAGTCTGTCTAATCAGACCTCTCACTCATTTAGCGACCTGGAGTGTATTTTGAGTACACACTAGCTAAGTTCCTGCTCTTCAGGCAAAGTTCTTTTCCTTTTCCTTGATGATAGCAGGATTTCACATCTGGCAGTACCCTATTATACATGACTGCTCCAAAGAGGTTAAATTCTAAAATATTCCATAGAAAGCTAACATTCTGTAGCCAGTTTGGAAATGTCAGACACATAGTTATCTTCCTGCTTGTTTTCCTCTCATTCATTCCTCAAATTGAACATGGGAATTGGTGAAGTGAAATATCCTTAGGCATTGGTAAATAAGTACATTTTCTCCTAATGTCCTGCCAGTGTTCATTTCTCAGGGACCACAATCATTCCTGTCCTATATCCACTCCGTTTCTTCAAAGATGAGGTGGAAGCATGGCTTAGGGTTATGGTGCTGGGATTTTGTGGGATGTGGGTCTCTAGCAGTGGTCAACGACAGGGTACTTTTGTTTGAAAACAACTGCTACAACAAAACACATTACTCTACTTATGATTTAAACCACATTCAAACAGAGTTCAGAGATAAGTGCCAACAACAAAGAGAGAATTGGCCTGAAATTCATCTAAGGATTGAAAGGTTCTTCTCTTTCTCTCTTTAAGCAGACCAGCATTCTTATGACAGAGACAGTGTGAAAAAGACCAGTTTCAGCAGAACATCCAAGCCATCATTTGGCTTTTCATGTGTGTCTCTGTGGGTTCCCGATACCCAACCTATAACCTATGTTGCTGCAAAGGAGATTGCAAGGACTTTGTGGTATTTGTCTCCTTGACCTTCTAAGCAGTCAATACAGGATGCATTTCTGCCCTACTTAATATCACTGATTGAAAAATGTCAAGAAAAAAAAAAAAGGACACAACAGATCATCTCCAGCTGGATAAAAAGAAGACAAAGAGGAAGCAGATGTCCAAATAAAGCAACACACAGCCAGATGTCCTCAGAATGGCCTAACTTCTCCAAGGTAATGCAACAGGAGGTCAATGCACCTGCTCATTCTCCCCCTTCCGAAAGAGGAGTGGGCAGGGGGTCACCATCTCACCACCTGGCTGTTGTAGTCCTCGGTGACAGTCCCCTCATTGGCCCCATCCTCTTTTGGCCAACGGTGACCCCTGTGCTCCCGCTGCAGCCTCCGTTCCTCCCGCCTTTTTTGGCGGTCCCTCTGGTGCTCAAGCTGCTTGGTGTGGTGGTAGCGCTGCTGGAAGAGATCTTTTGCATATTCATAGAGCTGCATGTCCAGGAAGTTGAGCTCCTCGATGCGTTGGCGGGCACCCTCATTAATCTCCACATTGGAAGCCCGTGTAATGTTGAACTGCGTGAAGGGGGAGATGAACTTGAGGTTGAATGTCCTCTCAAAGAGGAACTGTGTCTTTCTCTGAAATTCCGTGAGCCCAAAGAAGGCCATGTTCTTCAGGTTATTTTTTGCACTCTGCAACAGGATGGTGTTTCTTTCACTCTCATTCATGAAAGTCAAGTTATAGCAACCCACCAGGCTGAGGTCAGCCAGCATGCGTACCTGGCGGTTGTTAGCCAGGTTATAGCTGCAGTCCATAAACTCCCGCAAGCTGACCCCAGACCAGTCATCCCCTGGGTAGCAGGTGGGCAGCTCATCAGGGGTGGGGCTTCTCCCATCGCACATGTGCAGAGAGGTTTTCCAAGTGGCCCCTCTCTGGACGTGTTTCCACTCACTCAGGTAACGTGACACTGGGTCCCGCAACATTGTAATGTAATAGAAATTCCTGGAAGAAATTAGAGGAAGAGTGTTAGTCAACAATATGAATATTGGGATTATGAATCTCTATCATTTTAAGTCAGCATTGAGTCAATGGGCTCTTCTGCCAAATATTCTCCAGATGTGAGATTATTTGCCTGGATGGGTGCCTATTAGGTATAGTGCATTTGTTTAGTTTAAAACATATAAACAGGTTTTAATAAGTTTATTAGATTTTTCTTCCCTGATCTAGTCTGAGGAGGGTTAAGGTGGGTATACTAGATCATTCACTCACCAATTATTAACTGATTAATTGCTAATGAAAATATCTACATTTTATATACAGAGGACATACAGTGATTTAAAAAGTTGTTACCCAGGATCAGCAGATGATATAATGCTTACATCACTGGACTCACAAGGTCAACCTCAGTTCGTGTCCTGGAACTGACAGCTTAAACTCACGCAGGCACGTGCGTGTGCATGCCCAAGATCTTTAGAGGAGAAGAGAAGAAAAGGGATTGCAATGTGGCCATCCCCCTGGGGGGTGATTTCCCACTTTCTGTCTCTCTGTCTTTTGGGTGAGTGCACATGCCCTACAGCAAAAGTTTCTCTTAAAAAGTTGCTATACATCTGATAATTTATCTGGTTCTTACAAAATGCCTCTGTAGTATATAGGTACTGCTTTATAGGCATACAAAGAGGTAAAATGATTTATTCAAGATTATGGGATTAGAAAGGTCAAGGTAGGAACCTAATTTACCTTAATCTTTTCTCTTTAACTGCTATTCTGAATTATGAGGTAGGTGGAGTTGGGAAAGGACGTGGTGAGTGTGGAGACTATTTCCTGAGTATCTACTTTGTGCTACACAAGGTACTTTATGGATGCTAGCTCAGAGACTTCTCAGTACAACTTTGTAAGTGAGGTTTTTCATTACGTCTGTATATATGAAAACTGAGGACATACAGGCTCACAAAAGTGAAAAAATCCTAGCCCAAGGTCCTAGAGTCAGGTTAATACTTGACCTGCTGTATAATCTGGGTCTATTTGATTTCAAAGCTCATGTGCTTTCCTGTGTACCATATTAGCATTTATAAAACAAGCCTGTAACTTATTTACTGTGTGCCTATTAATAGTCGGGGGCTCTGGTTATAATCACAGATCTTATTTTATTCCATAATACCTAATGGAACATTAAGAAGAAATAAATTTTTAGATGGTTATTTTCAGAATGATCACATAGGGATCAGGATAAGTTCAAAGGGGGCAAGAGAACTGTAAAGAGGCAGGAAGAGTTAGAGAACTTGATATAAAAGATATAACAGTAGACACAAGAGGAAAGTCAATCTTAGTTCAATGAAGTAAGAAAAACCCTTGTCATTATTTGAGCAACCAAACAATGGAATGGGTCACCTACCCCATCACCAATGGTGTCCAGGCAGAGCCTGGATGTTCATTTGTCACAGAAGCCATAGAAAGATCCCCACCAAGGAATAGGCTGAAAGAGACCTCCAGTTCTAATATCCTACTTTGACCGTTTTCCCTTCTACAGCCAGTTCAATTCCAGTTCACCTCCAGTTCAGTGTTTGCTCATTAAGGGGAGCCTGCTCTGGAAACATTGCATTAAATATAGCAACTCAGAGTTCCCCTGGGGAAACAAAAAATGGTCCTGACATTTCTGAAAAGAATTTAGTGCCACCAAGAGCCCTGGAACCTGAGTAGTGTTGGGATGGGCTGGGTGCTGCCCACTCAGCCTCAACATGGCCTGCCACATTCTACATGCAAAGTGCTGCTGTCCAGCCTGCCTCAACCTGGCATCCAGAGGGCTGCAATAAAACCAGGTCATTTTCTCTCCATTCATCTTAGTGTCTGCCCTTCAAAGAAATGTGTCTGTAAAATACACCATACTGGCGAGTAGATAAGTGGATCACAGAAATTCTGTTGAGGAATGATGTTTGGTTATCTCTGCATCATGTCACATTTTGTCAAATATCTGTGTTAGTAAGGGGAGCAGCTGTAGCAATCACACACCTGGATCATTCCTGTGTGTTGTTAGTGCATATATTTGAATGAAAGACAAATGGTGGAGTGTCTGATTCTATATTTAAATAAAAAGATGTCTTAAACCTGCAGGAAACACTAGAAATAAAATTGGAGGCACTAGATAGTGGCTCTGCCTCCCTTCAGTCTCATAAAACTTGTCTCCACCTCTTGTTGAAGGTTGAGGCTCTTGCATCAGGTCAGATTCTAAGTTGAAGAGAACTACTTTGTCACCACACTCTGAAAATCAGTTTTAAGAAAATTGTATTCTTGATTTAAAAGAAATAGTGAAAAGAGAAACGATTTCATTTTGAGTGTGTGTGTGTGCAATGACTATCAATGAAGATGATAAGAAGCTCGACAAAGAAGAAAAACCAATGGAAAAGAATGGATTTTCAATTCGTAAGAAAGACAACCTAGCCTATAGAGGTCCTTGTGAAATATATGAGGAGGAATAAATTGTCAAAGGCTTATATGAGATTCAATGAAGATGTTTCATTCATTCACATCTAACTGATCACCATGTACATCATTTAGGAAATAAAATACTTTTTATTCAAGATTTGGGGGCAAAGGTTTGCAAATTTTGTTTTTAGTTCCAATGATGACATATTTATTTAGATAAACTAACTGAAACGCCCGAATGCGAACATTTTCCCCATAGACTAGTACCCAGACTCATGATGTTGGAAATGTACTAAGTGTCAGGTGTGGTGCTAATGGTACAGCTCAACTCAACAATCTTATGAAATAAGTGCATATTATTTCAATTTTTCACCTAGAGTTGAATAAACAAAGGATTTAAGGAAGTGAAATAAGTGGCCCTAGACCACACTAATAGTAAGTCACAGAACTTGGATTTAATCAAGTCTGGCTAACCAGAAAGGAAGGAAGGAGAAAGGAATGAGGTAAAGGAGGAAGGGGAGGGAAGGTTACTATATAGGGCCAGAAAAATTTCTTATTTCATAGGAAAAATCCAGCCTAGCACTTGTTCTATTTGGTCAAACTAAACTGAATAGAGAAAAAAAAAAAAAGAAAACCTAGTACCATTGATAGAAAAATGAAAAATGTAAGGGTGCAATATTATATTTTATTCTGCATTTTTGAAAGAAAAATGAACTATAATATTTAAAGTTATAAATTTTCTATATTCTGTTATTTTGAACATCTAACCTTACTGCTGGGTGAGCCATGTAGTTTTGAAATGTGCTAAAAAGATGTAAAATCTTAAATAATACTTCCTTTTAAACCAGGAGGAGGAATTTATTGAAACTGTCAAGGATAGTCTGAGTCTCTGCTCCTGCCAGTCACTGTTTTACATTACTTTGTTGTCTTTCAACTGTGATGGAATGACAATTTTATCAGTGGGAAAAAAATGTCCAAGAGGTCAGTAGGGAAAACAGAAAATGTCTGACACAGTTTCTGGAGTCCATAGGAAATGGTGGTGAAATTTGCTCATAGGAGATATTGCTATTATTGAATATTATGAGTAGTCATTACAAATCATGCTTTACCCTATGTTGTGACGTGTTCACATTTCAATTCTGCCAGCTGAGACAGATTTTTATTTCCCCAAACAGTGACATGATAATATGTAAATACAATGATGATGATGCTGTTATAACTGAGTGGGCTAAGGATGACAAACACACCAGGGCAGAAGAATTTAAATTAGAAAGATCTTTGAATTGGGTGGAAGAAGACCCAAAATGAAAAATATCTTATTTCCCTGTTAACTAGACAAAACAGAAAACCTATGAAAGGATTTAAACAAAGGGGAAAAAAGAGGCTGATGACAGTCAATAAGTCTCAATCCCATTTATGCATCTCAAATGTGACATGATCCGGATCTTAAAAATAACCATAACTGTTGGAGGATTTGGGGGCTGAGAATTACAAAGCTCGGTGACATTAAGATTTAACTGCAATTTCCTGGAAAAAGGAGATGCTTTTGTCACACTTGGGAAAATTGGCCATTAGAGCTTCCTTACCTTCATTCCACTGGAAATCTACAAAATCTCAAAGCTGACTAAAACTAGGTAAGCTTAAAATGGTCTTAGTTTCGATTTTTAACGTTGCATTTAAACATGAATAGCCAAATTGTAGGGTGATGTTCATATGAGTAAAATAAGTCCTAAATATCTTCAAGTTCTACTAGAGAAAGTAGTCAATTTATAACAAAAAGCAACTCTGACATCAAGACATCTAAATATACTGGCAGAACATTTATATAGATGAAGCACAATGTCTCATCTCATGGTTCTGTATTTGAGTGGATCACTGCACTTGAGAATTGCTTTAGTCAGACATCTCATGTACATTTTGTTCATTTCAATCATGCAAAGCAGTTAACACAGGAAATTATAAAAATTGTAAAAAAAAACAATAGGTTTAAGAACGCTCGAGTTTTTTTTTTTAATCTGACAATTTGATTGAATCTTTAGTTTTTAAATCATTTTTATATTAAAATTAAAATTTAATTTAAATTTAGTTTTTAGTTTTTGCCTAGGGCATGTGCATTCATTGGAGAGAGAGACAGAGACAGTGAGAGAGAAAGTGAGAAATCACCCCCTAGGGAACATGGTCACTGCAATCTCTTCCTCCATTCTCCTCCTGGGATCTTGGGCACACACACACATGCATCTGGCATGATTTTCAAGCCACCGGATCCAGGACTCAAGCTGCAGTCCACCTACGTAACCGCTACGGCAGCCAGCTGCTGCCCTCAGATCATTTATTTTTTTCTCTCATCACTAACTTTTACTTTACCTTCATTTGAGTCTCTACTTCCAGACAGAAAATTATAAAAATCATGATGAAGTGATATTTATCTCTAGGCCACACACTCAGTCTTCATTGCTGACAAGCCTTACTCCAGTCCCATGAATCTTCTTTTCCTCCAACTCAACAGAAACTCACTTCCTTCTGCTCCCTTAACTCCCAATTGAGTCTCTAATCAATGTACTTAAAGGATTTAGTACTAGGCT